TCTACAGGTCTAGAGGTGTACAAGTGGTGGTCACGGTGCAGGTTTACAGGTCTAGAGGTGTACAGGTGGTGGTCCTGGTGCAGGTCTACAGGTCTACAGGTGTACAGGTGGTGGTCACGGTGCAGGTCTACAGGTCTAGAGGTCTACAGGTGGTGGTCCTGGTGCAGGTCTACAGGTCTAGAGGTGTACAGGTGGTGGTGGTCCTGGTGCAGGTAAGTCGTCGTCCTCTAAACGTACTCGGATCGCTTCTTGAAGGACACGTCGGTGCTCATCACCTGGTACCTGCGCTGCAGCGCCGGCTCAGTTCCCCCCCCCGGTGAATACCAGCAGGCTGAGACCAGCAGCAGCCCGGCCACCACCAGCAGGAACCCCCCCGCCCAGCCGATGAATAGAGCGTCTCCAAACTCCCACCGAGGAACCACATCCGGCACTTTATCGTCAAAGAAATGCATGACGGCCAAGTGTGCCATGTAGGACACTGGGACGAGACAGAGCACTCCAGACACAACCCCCAGCACCCCCCCTATGCTGGTCAAAATCCTCTTGGGGCCCCCCCTGCAGCTGTTCACCATGTGGAGTCCAGGCGTCGCCACCAGCAGGCCCAGCACGCCCACGGCCAGCGAAGCACACATGAGGAAACGAGACAGCTTCAGGTCTCTGGAGAGGCCCAGCAGGCTGTCGTAGGCCCGGCACTCCATCCCCCCCACGTCCTGCACCACACAGGTCTCCCACAGGCCCAGCTCGTAGCTCTCCACTGGCAGCAGGGCGGTGGACATGGTTAGCCACTGCGGCAGGAGGGTAGATGCTAACACGCAGAGCCACGCCGCCACGAACAGCAGCATGGCCAGCAGCTCCAGAGCGCAGGAGTCCATGTCCGTTATTTCTTCTTCTGCTCTTCAGACGAGAGGCTGCCAGAGACGAGAGGCTGCTAATTAGAGGAAATAGCTCACTCTGAGCTCCTTCTCTGCTCCCACTCCTCAGAGTTTCCTCTCGGGGGGAGGAACAGACCTCCTGCAGCACCAATGGGCAGCGAGGCGACCACAGGGGGGACATTAGATGCAGGCAGGATATTATGTGTTGCATGTTTACGCATCCTGTGTGACCTCCCTGTGTATAAATAAGCTGAGAAATGACAAGTTAAACCCTAAAGACGGGATTTTAGTTTATCTAAGAGATTATTTACAATATTATACCTTATTATTACCTTTATTCTATGTGATGGACATTACTTTATGAAGCTGTCTTTTTTGTCTTTATCTTATTAAAGGCAAAACCAGATAAAAAACCTGTTGAATAATTTATTTGAAGTTATTAGATTACTTCATAAACCATTTAGAATATTTAATAATGCAAACTCATAGACGTAATTATGAGTATACCATATAAGTTAATTGATGTAATAAGTATACAATATCAGATTAATAAGGAATGTGTGATATTTTATACGTTTGATGGTGATGTGTGTGAGCATGTGACTGAAACAGAGCTGCTGATTGTTGCTCTGTGGGAGAAAATGAACAAACAACAAAAATGCACAGATAAGATCCTCTGGAGAACAAAACGCTCAGCTGACCACACACACACACACACACACACACACACACACACACACACACACACACACACACCACTGTTCTGCTTTGAGCAGGGAGAAGCTCCATCA